CGACCCTGTACGTTCTGAAGAGCAGATGGTGAGCTTCAACTGCCGACCTTGAAGTTCAAAGTGACTTTGCAGTCCAGCACATTAACCTACAGCGCCCCACCTGGACTCAACTGCATTAGGCAGCCACATAAACTAATTTTGGGGTGGCAGGGCTAGGCACAGAGGATAAGAACCTATCAAAGTTGAGGACACTAGGAGCAAGCCAGGCTGCACTGTGTGATGAAATGATATCAGTTTTATGTGTTTAGTGGCCATACATCCCAGTTTGCTCCTATCAGTTCCAGTTTATACTTACTATTCTCTCTAAAAAAATTTTTAAACAATATGGTCACCTTACTTACAGTCCAACAGTATCTTCCAGGTTTAAATCCTGGCTCTATCACTAACTAGCTGTGTTGCTCTGAGAAAGTTACTGAGTCTCTCTGAGCCTCAATTTCTTCCCCTATAAAATGAAGAAAATTCATAGCTAATAATGTAGTTGTCAAAATAAATAACATATCAAAGTACCTAATACATTCAAACCAGGACACATGCTAGGTGATATTTTAAAAGGCATCTATTATTATTAACTTGATCTATGTCAAAATTAACAATTTTCAACTCAATGAGTAAATTACACAAAGGGATATGTTCATTTCCCCTCAAATCATAAAATGCAACACAATTACAACTTTAGAGGACTAACCCTAAAAAGTACCTATTATATAAAATAAAAAGAATATTCCTATTTTCACAAATTAAGAACAGTTTTGAAAATATTAGTAGACTACCTGTAAATGTTAAATGAGTTAAAAAAAAAATCAATGCATTATTATCTCAATTATCTTTTACACATCTTTTATTTCTTTAAACTGGCCACAAAATAGTTTATATTATAGTGGTTGCAAGTTGGCTGTCAATCTCATGGTCAGCAATTTGAAGCTACCACTGGTCTCTGTGGGAGAAAGATGAGGCTTTCTGTTCCCATAAAGATTTACAGTCCAGGAAACACTATACAGGGTCACTATGAGTAAGAACTGACTCCCCGGTACATAACCATCGCCACCATAATACTAGTAATGACACAGTTTATTGCCATTTTTGAAAGGATAAGGGTAAGAGAGTTCAAGTCCAGGTGTGGCATTGTAGGATTAAGCACTGGACCTCAAGGTCAGTTTGCACTGCAAGGTCGGTGGCTCTAACTCACTAGTTGCTCCTCGGAATCCCTAGACAGGGCCACTAGGAGTCGGAACAGATTAGTCAGCACTTAACAAAGACCACAACTAAGGGTAAGACAAATTACTGCCTCCATTACTCATCTTTACAGAAAGGTGGTTTTATATGGACAACCATCCATATATGGAGTCCTGGTGTGGCGCTGCAGGTTAATGGTCTGGACTGTAAAATTGGTTTGAACCACAGGTCAGTAGTTCAAGCTTGCCAGCCACTCCACCACTCCTTGGAAACCCTATACAGGGTCACCATGTGGAACTGCCTTGAAGGCACTTCAGAACAATGCTTTGCTCTGACTCTTTCTTTTCCTTTGATTTGCATCTCAATACTACTGTTAAGCCCAATTCATAACCACTAGGCTACCAGAGCTAGCATCTGTTTATTGTGGGAGTGTATTGAGAAAGTTAGTCTGAGTTTGAGTAGAAAATTGCCCAAGAAAGCATCACCAGAGCCGTCTTCTACCACAATGCTCCCGGCTCAGTCCTCTCCTCAAACAAGGTCGGTTTTGTGAGAGTTCTGGTAGGAAATCATTAAGCACCCACCTTATAGTCCTGATTTGGTTCTTTCCGTTCGTTTGCTAATCTTTAAAAAAATCTTTATACGCCCTCGGAAACCCTGTACAGGGTCGCTATGGGTCGGAATCGACTCGACGGCACTTAACAACAACAACAACTACTGTTAAGCAGGCTTGCCTCCACAGCAGACCTTGGATCCAGGTAAAGGTGAATTATGATATTGATAATCATAACTACAACAGAAACAGTAGATACAGTGAAGGGACTTCAAAATGTTTGTGGAAAATTTCCATCATCTTTTTATTCAATTTTTCCATGAACTTTTTGAAGCCTCCTTGTACTGCTTACCATATGTCAGATTAATCTAGTAAGGTAAAATTTTAGTTTTTAAAATAAGAAAAGTAAAGTACAGTAAAGCTAAATTAATTGTCCAGTATTTTGGACTCTTGGTATGGCGTTATAGGATAAGCACAGGACTGTGAACTACAAGGTCAGTGGTTCAAATGCACCAGCTGGTCCTCGAAAACCCTATCAGGGTCACTAAGAGTCAGAACTGACTCAAAGGCACTTAACAAGACAGCTTGTAAATGGAAGAACTTTTAACTCAGGCAAATTCTGTACTATTTAGCACCACTCTATATGGCTTCTATTTCCCCAATCTGGTATGTAAAACAAACTATACAGGGTATGTATGATTGACATGCATAGTCAAAGAGGCTATAGAGAATAATGAGACAAGTCATGAGAGGGTTCGGGGAGTGCTTCAATCCTCTCTCAAGGCAAAAAAGCCACAGCAAATTTATCCTGCCTATTGCTACAATTTTCCATGCATTTACAATGTTCTATGGGAGTCCTGGTGTGGCGGGGTGGGTTAATGAGCCAGACTGCAAAACCGTTTGAACTGCAAGGTTGGCGGTTCAAGCCCACCAGCTGCTCCTCGTAAACCCTATATGGGTCACTATGAGTCAGAATCAACTCGACGGCACCTAACAACATGGTGGTTCAAGCTCACCAGCTGCTCCTCAGAAACCCTATACAGGGTCGCTATGGGTCGGAACCGACTTGACTGCACTTCTCAACAACATTGGTAGTGCTGTAGTATAAATATTGTACTGCTGACCACAAGGTTGGTAGTTCAAAAGCGATCAACAACTCTGCAAGAGAAAGATGAGGCTTTCTGCTCTCATAAGATTTATAGCCTCAGAAACCCTATATAAAGGTTGCTATGAGTCTAAATGAATTCAATCAATGGCAGTGGGGTACTGGGAAAGAAGAAAAGCTTAATTGGTTATTTAAACCATTTTGAAAGTCTCTATTAGGTCCATACTGGAAAATTACCTTGCTTCTTTGATGCAAGGTCAACAAGCCACCTAATATTCTCCCAGCCAAATGGACTCTGTCATATTAGTCCTTACTCAGCTCTAGAGAGTTGAGTTTCAGTGGCTCTAACAAGTTTATTTGTTCAACAAAAAATCATTTAATGTCAAGCATTGTACTAGCTGTCACTGAAATAAGATAAATACAATATGATCGTACTAATTACTCAATAAGCTTAAAGTCTAGTAGGGATGATGACAAATATAGACAGAACTATTTTAAATCAGCGGTCTTAAAAAGTTGTCAACAAAATGTAAATTCCTTATGGTAGAACCTAAGAGAATACATTTGAGCTAGTTCTTGTTGGGTGAGGAGGAAGAGAGAAGAGCAGGGTATCAAAGGAAACTTAACCCTAGGACCATCAAGAGAGGAATGCACAAATGGAATGCGGGACCTTATCCAGAGAAGCAGCAGCACCAGAGATGGGGGCATGGAGAGGGGGAGCGGCTGAGGACTCTAGATTCATCAACTAAGAAGAGAAAGACTAAGAGCTGGTGGCCAGGAACAGACTTGCAGAATGTGCCCTTTGGAGATGTAATTTATTATATATGCCTGAGTCGGTTTTTTTTGATTGTGTGTTTTTAAAAAAAAGCTAAAGTGGATAAAGAGAAATACTTTTAACTGATGGTATATGGAGGGGATTATAATCAATGTAATAAAACAAGTTATATGAATTGTTGTATGTGAAACTGATGATGTGGCCTGTAAACTTTCACTCAATCCACAATAAAAACCTTAAATTAAAAAAAAAAAAAAAAGGAAACTTAAAGGAGACTGCTTTTTTTAATTTACGGGGAGAATTGTGTGCTTTTCACACTGTACCACCGTGTATTAGAAAATATGAACACATACACATAAGAGTACATATACATGCACATACTCCCCTTGACTTTTCTTCAACTAGAGTAGTGTGTGTACAATCCTCAAATGACAACTAATTAAAAGGTTAAATTATCTTTTCTTGAACCATTTAACAGTATTTTTTCCAAACCAATGAATTGGCAAAAAATGCAATATTCCTTTAAATCTCCAAATCATAAAAATGTTTTACATAGGTAACAATATGCTAGAAATTCTGGTGACTAAACAATTATACACTTCTCAGATTTCCTGGATTAGCTAGCAGCTCCCAAATTGTGAAGGCTTCCAAAGTGTGGTTATTTAAAAGCTGTAATTTTGCCTGGCATTTACCATGGGATTAGTCATGGAGGGGTAAAAATAAAATTAGCAGTCTGAAATCTTTAGCTGTTCAATAGTGTTTATCTTAGTAGCTGTAATAAAACAACTTAACTGGTAGTTTTTGTTTAAAACACACAAATGTTTTCTGACTTGCTTAACTCATCATTATGTGGCTCTTAAGCACTGAACAGGGCCTTAACAGACCATGTTGGGAAAATAAGTTGGTCAAAAAGCTTGCTTCCAACTAGGCTGTAGATTTTACTGCCAACTTTGTTAACCAATGACTTTTGGATTTAACAGGGAAAGATTAGAGTTTTCCACTTCATCACATAAAATTCCATTGCCAGACTTAAATTTCCATACTTGTAAACAGCACAAAGCCCTAGTATGCTCTTAGTAAAACTAATTGCATTGTATGAGAGAACAAGCAAATGCACACAAAATCAAGTGGGCCAGTTTGTATATTTCACCTACATTTGCTTCTCAACTTCCTGCCATGTACATTCCCACACTCAACTCTCTAACACATATGCCATATTAGATCGTATGTTAATACTACTACTATAGTCCTTGGCCTTCAATGTCAAAGATGCTAATTATAACAGTTCCAACTGCTTTAGTGAAGCTCAAAGTACTTTTCAAAATTCATTATCGTACTTCCCAGAATTATGAAAAAGTAAAGAAAAAATTTCCTGCTATGGAAAAACCAAAGAATGGCTACACAACACAAAGTGATACAACTAGTAAATTCAATTCCAAGAGACGCAAAGAGTTATCTTTAGAAGAAATAGCTTTTCCTTTAAGGAAAAAGAATTCTGATTTACAGAAATAATCAATAAATACTTAGGAGTCCAAAAATATTTCTTAGTTCTACTGCATATCTCTTAATACTCTTAATAGATCTTTACTCCATATATCAAAACAAACAAAATTAGAAAACCAAAATTTCCTCCAAGCTCAAGGGTCAATAAACTTTTTCTATTAACTGGTCACCAAGTTATTTTAGGCTTTAAGGGGCCTAAGGTTGGTCTGTGCCACAACTACTCAACCTGGATAGCAGTGTGAAAGCAACCACACAGTCAAGATTTAAACAAAAGAATGTGGTTGTGCCCAAGGAAATGCTCTACAAATCCAGGGAGTAAGCTGAATTTGCTCCAATGGCCGTAAGTGACTTATTCATTCTCTAGACCCCTAAACTAATATCCCTGAATAATTTAAAGAGGAAATGCTAACTATCCCTTAAACAGAAAAAAAGATCCTTTTTTAGGGGTAGGAGGACATAGGATGAAGGGGTGAAAGGTACGGTAGAGAAAAGCAAAACAAACACAACAAAGTAGGAAAGAATTGACTCTGATAGGTTACCTTCTGTAGATATGAATTCTTCTCCTATTGAAGTACTTTTTATACCCAGGTTATCATCACTGTCACATTCTGTAAGGCAGAATCAGTAAATGCAAATAAATTTTTTAAAAAGTTACTGTACCTTAATTTACATATGCTTAAGCTATTATTTTCAATATTCAAACTTACTAGTTATAATTAATCAGTATCATACCACTTTCCCAAAAAGTGTGTGTGTTTTTTTTTTTTTAAATGCTTTTCAGATATCTTAAACCCAAACCAAACCCTTGCTGTATAGTATGTTCCGACTCATATAGACCCTATAGGACAGAGTAGGACTGCCCTAACAAGGTTTCCCAGGTTGGAATCTTTATGGTAGCAGACTGCCATATCACATCTTCCTACGGAGTGGCAGGTGTATTCTAACGGATGACCTTTAGGTTAGCAAGTGAGCATATAACCACTATGCCACAAGAACACCTTTTATATATCAAAGGAACTCATCACACAGATTTTTAGTATGGTGCCAGAAACAATACCTACAGTTTCATAACAAGCTGAAGAAACAAGCAGCTAAGCTTTTAGAATTAAGTTCAACCATCACTTTATAAAATGCCTATTTGATAGGGTATGATGCTGCTTCAATCAGCTACACAACAAAGGCAAACTATTATTATTTTCAATTTTAAGATGGCTTTAAAAATGTGTAATTAGTGTAATTTTACAGACGCCAACCATACTTAATGCCACCATCCCATTCCAAAGTGAAGCCTCAATCAAATGGATACAACAAAGCCCTAGGTCCATAAAACAGTCCATGAAGCTTTTCATTTCAAGAAAAAGAATCTTAAAATATAATAAAATCTTTTCAGTTGTACTTATTAATTCATAATAGCCTATGCTCAAGTTTACCTTTTCACTACCTGAGAAAAACATTTTAGATAAATTAATACTTAACATAAAACTGCAAGAATATGTTAATTTACTTAAGAACTATACACAACTGAACATTTAAAACTATATTTTCAAAATGGAAAAAACAGCAAAAACCAATGGCCATCAAGTCAATTCAGACTCACGGCAACCCTAAAAGTTGAGTTATGTTCCATAGGGTTTAGGAAGCAGATCACCAGGCCTTCTGTTCAAGGTTCCTCAGGGTGAGTTCAAACTGCTGATCACTTAACATCTGCACCACCAAAGGACTATCTTCTTTTTAAAAGAAAACCCTATATAAATCAAATCAAATGTCTTGTTCTTCTAATAACTAGATATAGTCAAGTTCTAATATATAAAAAGATTGATAAGAGCAACAAAGGCCACCAGTAAAACTGGAAAACAGTAACTCAGAAATTCAGCAATCAAGTGTGGTTGAGGTAGGTACAATAATCAAACACTTTGCAAGGTTAAAAAAAGCAAACAATGAAGCATAGTTACTGTACCACATGAGGAGCATGTTATAGTGAACAGGGAAGCAATGTCATACAGGATTAATAAACAATGAAGACTGCATTCTCCCTTTAACTTAAAAGAAGCAGTCATATCTCATTCTCAAGGTATCACATATTGGTCCAAACAAGAAAAACACTGAAAATACTAACTTTTATGTACCCTGAAACTTTTACACTAAGTAGAGGAAAGGGATGGAAAGCAACAGAAAGAGATTTCTAGGGAATTTCTTAGAAAATGCAGGTTGCTATACTTAAAAAAAAAAAAAAAAAAAGATCCCTGGTATGGAGCTGTGTGTTAATGTGCTGGACTGCAAAGTCAGTCTGAATCACAGATTGGTGGTTCAAACTCACTAGTTGCTTCTTGGAAACCCTGCGCAGGACTACTGAGTCAGAACTGACTCGATGGCAGTTAACAATCTACTAAAATAGTTTATTAAATCTTACTTGTAAATCTTAAGCCAGCAATTTGAGAAGCTTCTCGAGATGAGGCTTATTTGTTCCATTATGAGCCTAAAGGTCCAATATATAAATCCAATGCTCATCATTTTCCTTGGCTCTGTACAATACCCAACCAGTTCACTTCCTAAGTAACAGAATCCCCAACAACCAAGTCTTATCTTTTTACATACAAAAACAAAACAAAAATCTTCTTGAGAGTTTATAAGGCAGAAACAATGACACAATCAAACCTTAAACTTTGTCTAACTATAACAAATTAATTTAACCAAGTCAAAGACCTAAAAAAAGTATCAGTAGTAAAGCAACTTACCTGCCCCTCTCCATTAAGCTAAGAGTAGTATTCTATAGCCAAATGACTATATATCATATATGGAACCAACAACTTTGAATATGTCTGTTTTTAGACTGAGATAAGTTATTTCCTGCAGAAACTTTCATTTAACTTTGAAAAATCAGTGAAGACTAAATTCTCAAAGTATAAGATACCATACAATCATCGATTTCTCATGAAAGAATTCAAGATATACTTTTTGCTTTGAGAACTATTTTCTGCACAAGTAATGGTAAATTTCTGAAAAGTTAAATACTTTTAACTTTTCAAAGAGGCTCAAACTTACATCATTTGTCTGTTATGTTGCTTTTTTAAAAAATATGTGAACTGAGTGACAGTTTACAGACAAGATCACCAGTTTCACATTCAACAAATCTTACACTTTGTTCCATAATGCTGATTTAAAAAACCTGAAAATCATAGGACTGCCTACAAAATGATGATAGATATGAGAGTTATGGATTGACTCTGACTCATAACAACCCTATATCACAGAGTAGAACTGCCCCACAGGGTTTCAAAGGCTATAATTTTTATGGAAGCAGATTGACAGATCTATTCTACAGAGCTGTTGGTGGGTTTGAATTGCATCTTTTGGTTAGCGTAAGGAGAGCCCTTAACCATTATGCCACCAGCATCCTTACTTGCAGTATGAACTTTTGTCATATCCTACAGACAAGAAAGCTTTGTTAGGCTGTAACTAGGAGTCTAGGGATCACAAACCTCCTGAAATATAAAAGTATCTACTGTCATTTGGGAGGAAAGAGAGAGTATAGAAAACTTTAATTTGATTTCATAATAAGTATATTAAACAACTCCTGCCCTACTTTTGTATCTCCTCTCTACACATACACACAAAGTCTAAAGCTACAATGACTAAGAAATTATCTATAATACAGTGCTAAAATAGATAACAATGAACAGTTATCCCAGCCAAAATTATCCTGGCTAACCAAAATTACCTAAAGGCTCAAAAAAAAGAATTAGTCTTCATGGATACAGATTTTCTCTTACTTACAGCTACGAAACATATTAAATACTGTGCCTTAACACAAATTATTAATCTACTATCCACAAAACCATTTGTTAGGAAAAATGACAGTTATTTGATAACTCACATAGTTTCAAGTGGTTGTTCCTCGATTTTTAAAAAAATTATAATGTTAACTACCAGGCTTTTTGATACTTTTTAGTCTTTAATGAAGAAAAAATTTTGTGTTAGTTATCTGAATCTGAATATAATATTCTTCGTCAGAACTTATCTTTTAAATTGTAGCGTCAAAACCATTAGCCACTCCATTAGATCCTTAAGTTAAAGATAAAACACCTTGATTGAAAGACTGCATTTCTTTGGTTATGCTAGTTATTTTCGTTATGTTTTAAATGTAGTGACGGGGAATCATACTTTTTAATGACACAAATAATAAAAACAGCTATTATTTACTGAGTACCTATAGTACTTTAGATAGTGTGTTCCACATTTTATATATATCACTAATTTTTATAACCTTATAGAGATGGGAGCTGAGGTTCACAAAGAGTAACTTGACTGAAATCACAGTTCATGAACTGTACGTTAGCATTCAAACCAAAGCCCATGCCTTTCTTTTCACACGGCCATATCGCTGCTTCTCATAAGAATTCAGAATAAAGTTAATATACCCAACAGAGCAACACCTTCAAAACAGCTCTGAACAGGAATGAATGAGACTACTGAAGAAAAGAGGTGAGTGGCACTCAGGAGGGCAGAACCAATGGGTAACAGTTCACCTTCTACAGCTATTACACTTTAACCTGCACATATGCAGACCTTACATCTACTCACATGGCGCTCTCATTCCAGATAGGACAGATATAGAAGGAAATCCAAAACAGGTTTCACATTTTACATTATAAAAGAAATGCCCCAAAAGCAGCAGCATAAGAAAATGGAGTCAGTTTAGGGTCTCAAATTTAAAACCTTATGTATTTTATAGGCTATTAAGTAGATGTTATTAAGGATGTGTAAGGGATGACCAAAAAAGTGGCAGAAAAGCAGGCTAACAAAAAAGCTAAACGCAGAAAAAGCAAATGAATGAAAACAAAACTATATTATAGAAAGACGTAATTCAGTACTAAGGCATGATAAAAATACAAAACAAAGCTCTTTTGTTTTATAATCACGTCATTATCATTCTGCTTTAAAGAGCACACATAAACTAGTTAATTATTTATATAACTTTGCAGATGTGAAATGAAACCACTGCAATTAGTGATTTGAGAAAAATTTGATAGACTGTGTTTTCAGTGTCAGCTGAGAGACAAGCAGAGAAAGAAAATTTAAAGGCATACAACACAAAACTCTAGGGTGGCTAGCTACTGCTTTTCATTCAGGTCACATATCAGTATTTCAAATTTTACCCCTGGCTTCAAATTGATAGTGTATTTAAAAAGCAGTTGTATCTTTATACTTTTATACACATTTATTTCAGAAAACCCTGAATCCCTAGAATTGCATCTTCTCTTAAATACTAGAAGATGAACTTGGGCATAAGCACTCACTTCCTTTCATTGAACACTTTCATAAATATGGAGGAAGAAGTGTAAAGTCATCAGTAACAGAACAGGAGTTACCTACCCTTCCCAAGAACCAATGGTCTTAATTTTGTCACTGTCAATCTCTTAAAAGGTTCCTATTCATAAGCACTTTACTTTCTGAAAAGTGAAAGGTAAATTTGTTCAGAATTTCAGAAACAAAGTAAAAATCTGAATTCTGAGCTTGGCAAAACTGTATCGACAGATTTCAACCCTGATTATACATTTGAATTCATCTCCTATATCAAAATAATGCTCTGAAAAATCATTACACATTCACCCACTTTCTAAAACATGACAGAATGAAAGCGAGATAAGAGAAGATAACTAAGAGAGAGCAAGATGGCTCAGTGACTGGGCAACAATTTACTAGTGGACAGCAGTTTATTGGTTTCATTCAGCAGTGAAATCTCCTCCTCTTGGGTGGTCTGCACTGTGATTGAAGCTGCATACCTTTGGTGGTATCAGATATACTATTTAACAAGGCACACATCATATCTCCCTCTAAGTGGTGAGGGTTTAATATGTGAGCTGGCCTCTGAGTCTTCTTAAATTGATTCTCGAGCTCCAGAAAACCTTGATCTCCTGAGAGGATGGTAAAAGGAATTTGCTTGGGTAGTTGTTCATCTAGACGGCCAGCCTAAGTTGGGAAAAATGGAATGTGTTATACAAATCAGCATTTCTGATTTAAGTCAAGTTACAGCTGTTTCAGAATGAATGCTTATATAGAAAGTGCATTAAGTTTGTCTCCAGTCCCCACCAAAGTTTGATAGATAGATCTTCTTCATAAATGAAATATACTGTGTTTAATAAATGCTTTCAATTATAAGAGTAGTTGTTTTATGTCAACTAAGAAAGAAAAGGGGGGGAAAAAAAGCCAAAATGAGAGTACAATAGGAGGTTACCATATAAAGCAAGAACACTGAAGGGCTATTTTACATTTTAATACTCAATGTAAAAGTAAATAATAAACCTGGGAGAGCATTAGTTAATTCTCACTAACCAATGCCCAATCTGGATTGTTCTACTCTTCAGTAAAACGCGTTATTTTAATTTAAAATAAAAAAAGAAAAAGACATCTGTCAAAGAAAAAAGATAAGCAAGACTAAATCTTGGCACAGAAGAAAATAATCTGCTGAATGCAGCAGCATTCAACAAACGTTTGTAGACTAAATTCACATTATTAGTAGGACTCAAAAACTATCAAACATAATTTAATTGAAAGTGGGTCTCATTTTGGTAGTTTCTCAAGGTGACCAGTGATTTTTAAAGGTGCTTCCCAATTTCAGAGATATTAGAATGTTGTGAAAAGGTCTTAGTATACATTAAGTAGTATCATCTCATGATCATTCATCCCATAAATAAATAATTGAAGATATAATCTGTGTGGGTAAAGGTCGGCTAAAAGCTAAGATACAGCAGTAAAAGACTATCATGGGTCCCTAACCTCATGGTAGTCATAAATTGATGTTATATAAAAACAGCACTAAAGAATGACCTACACGAAGTTTCATTAAAAAATTCAAGTGGAAAAACACAAGCCCAAGCATAGAATTAGTGGATCCTATATTTACACAAAAATTTGAATGAAACAGTGACTCACATGCATACATATGGCAAAATCAGCAGCATCTTTTCTTTTACTACAGCGAGGATGAAGGAAGAAGCATCCAATTTTGTTCAGGTAATTAAAGATCTTACAGTTGAGTGGAGGTTTCCAATTGGTGTTTCCACCTATTATTTATTCAGAAAAGGCACAAATGACAGTCAAAAAGGAAAAGAGAGACCAAAAGACTAGACATCACTAAAAACATTTGAAAAAAAAAACTAGCAAAAAAATATTTTTCTAAAGAGAAAGGTACTAGCTTAAATTCAAGAAACTCAATTCTACCCAAGGTAGGATATGAATATAGCACCATTTTGTTGCCTTAAAACTTTGGGAAAGCACACCAATTTCCTTCAATCTTCCTATTCATCTTAATAACTTACAGGGATATTAAGTAAAATCTGAAGTAGTGGAAAATCAAAATCTAAATCTAAAGTGTGAAAAATGGCTCAAAATGGCATCATTCTTTATGCTTATAAGCACTTGTTGTTGTTGGGCTGTCAAGTCTGTTCCAACTCAGAGCAACCTTGAGTAGGGTTTCCTAAACTTTAAATCTTCTTGGGAGCAGATTTAGGAAGCTTCCTCTTTCTCTTGCAGAGCAGTTAACAGGCTTGAACAGTGGACCTGTGGTTCACAGTCCAGGGCTTAATGTATGGAGTCACCATGCTCCATTATAATCACCAACTTTTTTTTTTTTTTTTAAAACAGACAACTTTTCCAGGTTGTCTTGGTGCTTTCCATTTAAATCCAAAGATTTGAATCCAAATCTTCATATGCTATGTCTTGGTGTGGCGCCATAGGATAAGCACTCAACCTCAAGGTTGGTTTGAACTGCAAGGTCAGTGATTCAAACTTACCAGTCGCTCCTCGGAAATCCTATACAGGGTTGCTATGAGTCAGAACTGACTCAACGGCACATAACAGCTGCATCAAATATTCACTATACAATTGTTGTGTGTACCTGTGTTAATTCTAACTTATATTGACCAGTGATAGAGAGGAACTGCCCCATAGAGCTTTCTACATTGTAATCTTTATGGAAGCAGATCATCAGTTCTTTTATCCCAAGGAGTGGCTTGTGGGTCTGAACTGCCAACTTTTGGGTTTGCAGCCAAACACTTAACCATTGTGCCACTAGGGCTCCTCTCAAAACCTCTACAAAAAACCTCTGCAAACCAAAGACGCCTCCTTAAGAGGTTTACTCGATTGTTTATCAAGAGATTTAGATGGAAATACAGTAATGGATAACCAACAAAGATGAATGAAGAGGCAGATACAGCATGTTGAAAGTAACAGTCATGCAGTCAAGAGGCCCAAGTTTAAAAATTATTGCTGCTCTTTATTAGTTTTATGGGAAAAAATTAACTTCTTAACTTCCTTATAAATAATCAGTACGGATGTATTAAAAGTCCTGGTAGGATAAACACTGGAATACTAACCACTAGGCTGGCAGTTGAAACCCACCAACTTCTCCTCGGAAACCCTATACAGGATCACGATGAGTTGCAATTGACTCAAAAGCACTTAACAATAACAAAGATGTATTATTAGTAAGCACACTGCCTGGCACATCATAAGTGATGAATAAAAGTTGTTTCAAGCAGCATCTAAAGTTTCACAAACCTTGGATCGCCAAATAATGCTAACATTTACCACAGAGCAAAGTAAAAAGATTCTAGCAGAACATATATAATGTAAATAATATTCCAATTATATGCCTAAATTCTACTCAAGAATGTCCAACAGGATGCCTTTTAAAGTGAACTATTTCTAAGGTGAGAAAAGGAATGATCTCAAGTGTTCTCTTTATTAACTATGTATACCTTGAAAGCCCCAAATAAAGGTTCCTTGGTTAAGATGTCCTGGTAGATGACCAAAAAAGTTTGACCAGTTATCAAAATCTACAAAGACTATATGAGTCATGGTTCGCAGGTAGTCCAAATCTGGAAGGTCAACAATTTCTTCATCTAGTAGGAGAGAAACATTAACACGAATTCAGTCAGAATTTTATAAAATAATTTTAATTTCTCAAATTGAAAAGATATTAGAGAGCTAATATGCAAACATTAATCTTGCATACTATTCATTTCTAAACTTTTTCATGAAAACCACATTGTATATGACAGTTTACACTTATAATACCCAAATATGTGTATTTTTCTACAAATATGAGCCACTGATCCTAGGTGTTTTAAAACAGAAAAAAACAAACAAACAAACAAAAAACCACTGCCACTGAGTCAACTCTGAATGATACGAACCCTATAGGACAGAATAGAACTGCTCCGTAGGGTTTCTGAAACGATTTAATTTTTACAGGAGCAAACAGCCTCATCTTTCTCCTAAGAGTGGGTTGGACCATCCATTGCATAGCTAGCAGCCCAATGTTTAATCTATGATGTCACCAGGAATCCCTGTCACTTATAAAAGGAGTTTTTTAAAAGTTAAATCAATATACTGTTAGACCAAAATTTAAAGCCAAGTAACTAAAAACTTGCACCATCCTTCAAGGTTACTTCTTTCCCCATCAAGAATTTTGGTTTTTTCTTAATCTAGATTACTAATATATTAGTAGGAGCCCTGGTGGCACTGTAGTTAAGCACTGGACAGGTAACTGAAAGGTAGACTGTTCAAACCCACCAGCCACTCCATGAAAAGATGAGATTTTCTACTCCTGTAAAGATTTATAGCTGTGGAAACCCTATATAGGGTCACGCTGAGTCAAAACCCACTCCATGACACATAACCACCACTACCACCAGCACCACCATATAGTGTCATTGTAAGATGGAATCGACTTGATGGCAGGCAGAAATACTAGTAGCCATCAGATTCTGTGATTAAACACCCTACCTAGCAGAATTATTTATTTCTTGGTTCTCTAAGATTCTTCTTTCATCTTTGACCATGCTTAGCTCTAATTCTCCCTCCTTGTACCTTTATCTTCTATCTTGACAAGATTTTTAACTTTCCAGTGACAGCAATGCAAATCTTAAAATAGGTTCAATTATTTTTTTAAATAATAGCTTCTATTTTGCTTAATGGACTCCTGGTGTGGCACTGTGGGATCAGCACTGGACTGCAAACCACAAGGTTGGCCATTTAAACCCACCAGCTGCTCCTTGGAAACCCTACAAAGGGTCATTATGAGTCAAAATGACTTAAAGACACTGAACAAAAACACTTTGCATAACAGAAAATAAAAACAAAACAAATCCATTGCCACTGAGCTGATTCTGGATCACTGAAATACACTACTGGCATCTTTTTCCATTTCCCAGTCACCTAACTTCTTATATCTTTTCTCCAAGTTTCCAATAATTCTAGGTTTAAATGCTATAATCATTTTCTATAAAACACATATCAACATAAATTCCCCCAAAGCACAAGAGAACACAATGTTTGGAATAGAGTCTTAACAATTTAATCTTTCCCACTTAAAATACACCACTAAAGTTGGTGCTGAGAGCTACATATAATGTAAAGCAAATCTATGTAACATGTTCAGTGATCCATAAAAATATTTTATCAACCCAATGTTCAAATATCCTCATTGTCTCTACTCTGTATCACAAAACTCACTGAAAAAATAATAGCAATTCAAAATGATAAAGAATAAAATTACATTCTTCAAAACACAATTAAAACATTGCATTCTTCTAGATGTACCTAAACCTCTCATGGAATAAGTCTAGCATAAATACAAAGGGGATCCATACCTCAATTTTCTCCCAGGTTTTTTGCTACCACTTTTAACTCAACTTCAAATGGCTTTTTAAATTGTAAGTAAAAGCTTTGCTTCCAACTCAATCAAAATAAAATTTGTTGTTGGTAAAAATACACTAATTATAAAATGTATGTTCATATAAATTATAATCTAAAAGAACATAAATATTTCAAAGGAAAAATTATAGTAATGTTCAGGACAACTTTCAAATCTGACTTTCAGAAAGACTTTCAACTTCATGTCTAAAAATCTCCATGCCTTCTGTAAAAGAAAAATGAGACCTAAATAAATATAAAGCCAATGTATATGCTTTGTCTCCTTTAGTTTAAGAAGTAGTATAACAGAAATCCCTAAAAATAAGTCTATTCCTTAGCAATTTACCTATGTACTATACTATCAAGGTGGTATTTATTTTTTGCTTTAAACTGGATCATTGATCATTTTTATGATTACTTATTATAAACAAGGTGGTCTATATGATATACAAAATTTGCACAGATATTACAGTTATAAAGCCATACCTATATTCTGACAGCTTAGGTTATTCTCGGCTCCTTTTTCCATGTCTGAATTTTTGGAATAGTGTACTGTCTGTTTCTGTTTTCGCTCTGTAGGTGAGACACTAGCAGTAAACTTGTACAGGCTTACTTTTTCACTCCCAAAATGAGCCACATTGGGTTTCTGTAAGAAGCAGTGCTTTCTATGGAAGTGCTGCTGAGCACTCTCAGGATCATGAAATGCTTTGGTACAGGTACCACACTTGATCACATACTGCTGTTCTTCCACGTCATTCTTTTCTTCTCTGTGCACTTCACAGAGATGAGTTTTCATATTGATTAAATTCTGTGCTGTTGCTGAACACAAATTGCAACGATACCACAGTTTACCTTTATCCAGCATGAGTTGGAGACATCTACTATAATCTTCCTTTCTGTTGATTTTACAGATGTAACTCTCACGGCAACCACAGGTTAGCAGGTTGCTGGTTTCCAAAATTGGAAAATCATCCTCAGTTTTAATTGAAGTTTCATTTTTTTCTGACACAAACACATAATCTATACTGTGGCGCTCTTTATAATGAATCAAGAATGTGTCTTCTACATTAAAGATAAGATCACAAAGCCCACAAAAGTATTTAATCTTTATCTCATTGTCATGCTCATCTTGGCAATGTCGGTATAATGTTTCTATCTTGTGAAAAGTCTTTTTGCAATGGGCACAGCTGTATCTATGAAACTGGTGACTTGCCAAAGACATACAGTGCTGTTTGACACATTCCTGGGAATCAAACATATCTTCACAAATCCGGCACTGCCATTTGCCCCTTGTAGGATTGTTTTCTGGGGAATGATCAGTAATAGTAATAGTAGAAGGAGGTGTCTTAGCGGTTGAGTTAGTTACCAATGTTGCAGAGGATGATGGCAAACTATCACCTTTTACCTCATCTGTCTCATAAAAATATCTGTGTCCATTATGAAATTCAGTTACATGTGACATGATGGTTTCTTTCCTTAGTTCCTTTTTGCATGTCCGACACCAAAAAAGAAAGTTATTTAAATGTGCTCCTCCATGAAACCGACTCATGTGTAAACGGATGACCCCTGAATCTTCACACACTTTTCCACAGACCATACACTTGTAACACATTGTGTTTGCTGAAAATACATGTTTTTCTACTGCATCTTCACTTGGAAACCGTTGATGGCATTCACAAAACCAGATTTTAATTGTTGACTTTTCTTTCTGGATACAAACCACATCTTCATGATTTTCATTCTCTAAATTCATCTTCTTTTTTGGAATGGTGCTATAACCCCGTTTGCTAGAGTCAGATATAGTTCTTTTAAGTGATGAAACTTTTGATTGATCTAACAATAGATGCAACTCCGAAGCAGATTTGTTCCCTTGATTGCTGTGACAATAAAGTAAAACTGACTCTTCCATTGAGGTAATGATTCGGACTTTGTGTCCTGAATTCTGCTTATGGCTCCAGGTACCGGTGTCATCCACAAAGGCTTGGTTACAATTTGGACAATAAGCTCTTAATAAGAGTTTCTCTGCAACCTGGGCAATGCTCTTCTCAGCTACAGCTACAGGACCAGCATTTCGACAACGAACTCTAAATTGGATTAAAAACAAAACAAACAAAAAAAACAAAACAAAAAAACTCTTTTATAAGTACTTTTCAAATACAGAATCTCTGCTTTTTACTGTGGAAATTATAAAATAGCCCCTGTATAAACAAGCATTAAAAATACTTTTCAATTAAGAAATACCATTAGATTATATACCTACACTCTGCCTCTTTCTAATTAACATAGAAAAGGGTAAAACTCAAATTAAAGGATTCAAAATAGTATTAAATGTCTTGACAGTCAAAAGGTAGACAAAACGCAAAATGTCCATTAAGAGATGGAT